TAAGGGGCATCCGAAAACACAGGTGTGCAGGACACAAGGCGGAGTCGGAGCGGCATGGAGCACCTTGCAGCCAAAGAGGGGGCAGTGTCCCAGATTTCTGGGATTTCCATATGGTCAGCCTACACTTAGCAAATCTGTCTGTCCCTTTAAAGTTATACATGGTTTACAATATGGTATAGCAGGTTCTACTGGTATTATGAATGTTTGAAGGTGTATCTCAGCTGCAAAGTAACTTTTCAAATCCCGATCTACAAAATAACTGTTAGTAAAGGAGGAAATGAAATGTGAATTGTAGAATTAGGTGAACTCCTGCACCAGCCTGAAGCCCCTAAAAGTTAGTGGTGCAGTAATAGGGTCTAAAGCTGTTTGAATTATTCAGCATACCTTTTATTGAAAAGCTCTGCTTCATGTATGTTTTTCATTAAGAGATTTGCACTTTTGTTATTCTGCACTTCTGTTATCTTACATCTATGATTCTGCTATCTCCTTGCAATGTGAGTTACTGTATATAGCCTATACAATATTTAAAACTAATAAGATATGACAAAAAGTATTGCAGGTGGCTAGACTGCTGGTTTAATGATCTATATATTTTGTTTCTCTGCCTAAATGTCTATATGGTGTCCTTCATATTAGAACACCTCCTCATATAGAAAACTGAAACTATCTTAATTTCCTTCCTTCATAGCCTGTAAGAAGAACTGGATTAGTTAATGCTAGTATTTGGAGGATTCTGTATGAGAAACCCTCCTCCAAGGAAAATCTAGTCAAAGAAATGAGCACTTTTCTCTGGCCATTCTTATTTTTCACATAAAATACTTCCAAAGTCTGGGTCCAACCTCGGTGAAATGTGTGTAGCCCTTACCCATGTTTCCTCCCTTTTGTGATCAATAGATTTGATGGCTCAGGTGGAATGTAGCAGTCACAGAAAGAGACTTGTTATGTTGCCAGAGACAATCTCTCCAACAGAGGATGGTGAATATTAGGACAGAGATTTAGAACTAGATTTTGTACTCAGTAAGGAACTAGTTGAGAGAGGCACATTGGGAAATCTGCTCATGGTGATGCCAGGCAGACAGGCTGCTGCCTTTTGTAGCCAGGCATCCTATTCCTCAACTAGAGAGAAGTAATCAAGCCTGGCGGTCATCAATGTTTGTTTATTGTGGCAAAGTCTGATTGTAATAGGATGGGGGGGGATTTTCCAGCCAGTTGTAGATAGGATGAGACATTATTTTGTAGCAGAGCTACTTAAGCATCCCAAAAGGATGACAAAGAATGACTTAAGAAGCTTACTTGAAAGGTTGCATGGTTATAGCAAGTATTAGTGGCCTTTGAGATAATGCAGCTTCTGGGTGTCAGGAAGAGGGAAACAAACACCCAGACAAACAACAACCTTCCACTCATTTCTAAAGACCAGAACTTGGGGGCTGTATGGTTTTACTGAACAGAGCTTTCAGGGTGCATTATTGCTGCATAGACTACAAAAATGAGGGCATAAACTAGTCTGTCTAGGCTGTTGGCTGCACATCATTTTAATGACAGCTGTGATTTTGTGCATTTATATTAACAATAAAATATTGCTTTTTAAAAAAAGGAATCAACCCAGAGAGAAATCACAGGGGAACATAAAACTTTGTTTTAAAACATAAAATCAATTAATTTCTTTTTAGTAATAGATTCGTGAAGAAAAACATTTTTAATAGCTTCAGTTTTCAGTTTGAACTATATTAAATATATTCTCTGCAGATTGTTGGTGTTACTTGTTTGAGATTCAAAGCAGGTACAAATTTCAAAATATGAGAGATTATTTTGACAGTCATTCTGTTAAAGATTAATTTTAACTTACTCAAATGTCTCTGGAACTATATTGCCTTTTATTCTGTTTCTCAGGCTGCCTGCTAACTAATCTGGCAAAGACTGAAGATTGTCAGGCCAATTATAGACATTTTACAGGATTAAGGACTGTAGGATTTCTTATAGTCCACAGACCAGAATGTATAATGAGGAAGGGTTGTGATGCCTTTTTCTTAACATTTTGATTCCATTTGAAATGTCTGTTTTGCAACAATGTTTTTTAGGATTTTTTTCCACAATGTGCCCTCAATTTTGGCAAAACTAGGTTCAAACAGGATTGATTGGATTCTGTTTTAATTAATTATAGTATCAGTGAATGAAATTGTATTATAAGGGTTTGCAGAACCAAGGCTATGTACTTGCCTTGAAGTAAAAAATCTCTGTTCTCTGAGTCTTTTTGCAAATGCTAGAATACCTTTAAATTGTACCAGATTGATATAGGACATTGATACCTATGTCTGCTTTGCATTCTTTTTTGTCATGTCACTTTTCCTCCTTTCTTAACAGAGTTCTTTTTCCTGTGGCTTAGGTCTCAAAAAGACCATTATTTTTCTGTGGCTATATCTTGCAGGACTGGACAAACAGGATTTTTACACAAGTTCTATGGAAAACTGTCAAGATAATTAACATTTTAATAGGTAACTGAAATGTGACCTGGATCCCCCAACTTCATGAATGAAATGATGGTGTCTGCACTAGAAGGTATTTGAGAAAATTCCCTACCACTACTACGATGCTTTCAGCTCAATAACTAATAACAATGGTGACAGACAGCAAAGGTGCAGCCAAACTACTACTGTTATTTCAAGCATTGCAGACCTGCTCTAGCTAGGCTGATGGTCAACTGGAGTCCTGTCAGCATTAGCCCTCCTACCATTTCTGGCTTGTAGCAAAGGCATAAAAAAGACAAGATAAGGAGTAGAACAGAGCTTCACAGGACGAAGCATACATGTGAGGACAGAAAAATGTCAGATAGCTTTAGTAATGATGCAATACAAAAAAAACTTACATGAAGAGCATGTTAAGGTTGCAATATCAACTATTCAAATTAGGGTTGAATTATGCCTGAATTAAGGTTAGAACAATTGTAATTGTTTAATTTGATTTTAATTCTAATATAGGAGTGTTAAACATGACCCATGGGTTGGATCTGGTCCATGGGGGGCGACTCTATCTCATCTACCAGGCTACTGATCCCATTGCCACTTGCCCTATTCACGGGTGACTGGTGCCTCCTGAATCTGGGTGCGGGGGGCACCTGATTGCTGAGCAGAGGGGGCCTGGCCGATCACCGAGCCCAGAAATGCCAGCAGTGAAACTGGAATTGCCATCACGGGACCAACCCTCTGTCCCCCCCGTCGGTATGCCACTGCAGGGGGGGACACCAAGCACCTGCTGATGCTGCCACTGACGGCGTCAGCAGTGGGGATGGTCCTGTCATGGGGGGCATATGCCCCCCTGTTCTCCCCCTACGTGTCACCTATGGCCCTAATATTGTTATCCCTGCTGGTCTCACTGTTGTTCCTACTAGTTTCCCCACTGATCAAGCCGCCCCCATCCTGTGCTCCATGCCAGATCCAGCCCACAATGGAGCCCTGAAGTCCAGATATAGCCCAGGGTGGGACTTTGACACCCCTGTCCAAGTGCAGAGGTTATGATCCAGTCTTCAGTTCTATGAGCACAAACTGTTTTGTGCAGGTCACTGCCTCACTCAACACCCAGGCTGAACAATGCTCTCTGAAGGAGCAGCTATTCAATGTTTCATTTTCTCTTCATTGCTCACTACATGGCTTGAAGCCTTATTTACTGCACACCCATCACTCCGTCCTGAATACCATTATTAGTTTCCTCATGGTACCTTCTGCAAGGTGCCAACTGTTAATAAAAAATATGTCCTTGTGGGGAATTAAGGGGGACATTTTATTCTCATTGTATGCATCGGGAATGGAGGCCCAGAGACATTTGCAGCAAATGTGGACACCAAGGTGGGTGGCTCCATTTAAGGACTTGGCATGTCTTTATTCATTGTAATCTCTGGAAAGACTCCAAGATTCAGGTCTACGAAGTCATCGTCATCCCCAGTCTCCTCTGCAGATGTGAAAGGTGGGTGATTTACTGTTGTCATCTCAAGACCTTGGGGAGGTATCATCAAAGAAAATCTCCAGAAAATCTTTCACATCAAATGGGAAAATTTCTGCACAAATGCCAGCTTCCTTGCTAAAGCCAATGTTGCCAGCACTGAGTCCATGATCTTTGAGCACCAACTTTGCTGGACCGGGCATTGTGTACAGATGGCCGACTCTCAACTCCCAAAACAAGTGCTCTACTCCAATCTTGGTAATGGCCTGAGGTCTTGCGGGGGGCCAGGGGACGTGTAACAAGGACGTATTGAAGGCATACCTCGAGAAAATGGATGCTGACATTAAGAGTTGGGATAAGCTGTCTGCTGACCAGCTCCAGTGGCGCTGCAACTGCAACCAAGCACCAGCCCATTTTGAGGCAAAGTGTCTTCCAAGTCCACAAAGCAGGTGAGCACCACCCAGTGCTCGGATGCACCTCCCCTCCTCTCCCCTGCCGGCTGCGAGGAGGGTGGGAAGCTCCTATCCCAGGACCTTCAGAGAGGCTCCTGCTCCTCCAGCCAGCCTTGAGGGAAGGGGGTGAGGGGAGCTGGGCTGGGACAGAAGCTTCCCCCAGCCCAGCGCGTCTGCCCGGCTGCAGGCGGAGCGCCCCGCCCCGGGTGCTTTTCTCCAGCTGGAAAGAAGGGCGCGGACGGACACGGCGGGACTCGAACTAGCGACTCACCCACGCGGTGCGGCCCCGTGTTCCTCCACCCCGCCCTGTGTGTGAGGGGGCGGGGCTATGGCAGCACCTGCCGGCCCGGAGGGAGGTGGCTGCGTCGCAGAGGCGCATGCGCCGCCGTAGGCTGGCGCC